CATTTGAGACTTTAAAAATGGAAAAACTTATGGTAAGAGAATTGGTAATTGCAGACATGACCACTTTATTGTTTAATTAAGGAAAACATATATTATCTTTATTCATGAATGAGTTTGGGTAGAAGGAATCTAACAGGCTTGCTCGGTCGGGTTCACTCGGTTGAGCGCCGGTCTCGCTCCTCGGTTTTGGGGCGTGACAATTAGAAGAAGAATAAATAACCCAAAGTCGATCGTACCTTTTAAGTAACGAAGAATTCTTCTAGTGACTTTTAAATGAGTGGGGGTAGGAGCTTCCATGAAGCGACTTACTACTCCAACTGCAAAGAGTATATCTGGCCTGGTATAAGTTAAGTACCTCAAACTTCCCACAAGACTTTTGAAAAATGTGGGATCCACTTTTTCTCCTTCATCAAACTTGGACAATTTTGTCCCACTCTCCATCGGTGTGTTCACGGGGTTGCAATCGAGCATGTTGAACTTCTTCAATATCTCTTTTGTATAGTTTTCTTGAGAGATAAAATTTAATCCTCCATCTACTTCACTTCTAGGCCCAGGTAGTATGACATGAGCCTTACGCCTGTCATCTCGAACTCACGGGACATATCTTTCTTAAAAGCTTCAAACAAACTCGGGTTATTACCCGTAAAAATAAGATCATCAACATAAAGACAAACAAGCAAGATATCTCCATTAATATGAACTTTAAGATAAAAACCATATTCATAGAGACAACGAGTAAATCCATTGTCATGAAAATACTTGTTGATGCAACTATTCCATGCTCGTGGGGCTTGCTTCAATCCATATAAAGCTTTGTTCAACTTCAGCACTTTATCTTTATGGGTTTTGACCAAGAAACCCAATGGTTGTTCAACATAGACTTCTTCTTCAAGATAGATTCAAGAAGGCTGACTTGACATTAAGTTCATAGATCTTCCACTTTATTTGTGCAGCTAAAGAGATCAGCAAATGAATCATTTTCATGCAGGCAACAGGTGCATAGACTTTTTCATAGTCAATGTCGTGCCTTTGCTTGTAGCGTTTATCCACAAGTCATGCCTTGTATCTATATCAACATTCTTCTTTATCTTATATACCCATTTTATTCCAATTGCTCGATGATCCTTGGGAAGAGTTGTTAACTTCCAAGTGTTGTTCTACTCTATTGACTCGATCTCCTCCTCCATGTCTTGTCTCCACTTTTTGTCTGTAACAACTTCATCAAAGTTCATTGATTCATTGTCAGCAAAGAGACAATATAAAAAATCAAAATTAGTAACTTCTTATGTGTCCTCATAGAGCTCTTGAATACTCCTTGTCCTTTGCGGCTGTTCATTTGAACTTTCTTGAGAAAAGGGAGATGCAACATTTGTTGGATAAGGAGGTGGAGTTGTGTCCTGCACAAGTTCCACAGTCTCTCATCACCAAAGTATGGAAGAAAATCATATGAAGTTTCTTCCCGAGCTTCCTAGTTCCATGCCAATTTTTCATCAAATTCAACATCGTGACTTACCACCACCTTGCCGCTGCTTGGGTTGTATAACTTGTAGCCTTTTGAACTCGTATCATAGCCAACAAACACATGCTTGACATTTCGATCGTCAAGTTTCGCTCTCCCTTGTTGTGGAACATGAGCATAGGCTATGCTCCCAAAGATTCTTAAGTGCTTGACACTTGGTTTTCTTCCACTCTATGCTTCTTGAGGGGTTTGATCTTTAATATTTCTTGTTGGAGACCTGTTGTTCAAATAAACTGCACAAGAAATAGTTTCGGCCCAAAATTCCTTGGGCATACTTTTAGCTTTCAACATACATCTAGCCATATTAAGAATCGTTCTATTTTTTCTCTCTACAACTCCATTTTGTTGGGTGAATAAGGTACCGTTAGAGGGCGACGAATTCTATGAGACTGACAGAAGAAAAAATTCTTTTGAAGTGAATTCACCCCCTCTATTGGACCTTAAAGCTTTTATTTCATAGCCACTTTCTTTTTTCACAAGTACTTTAAAATTTTTAAAAACAACAAAAGCTTCAGATTTTTGGTTCAAGAAATAAACCCAAATCTTTCTACTAAAGTCATCAATGAAAAGCAGAAAATATTTACGTTTACTAAAGGAAGGTGGATTGATTGGTCCACACACATCAGTGTGACAAGCTGAAGTATTTTGGTTGATCTTGACATGGCCTCATTTGGAAAACTCCTCCTTGCATGCTTTCCAAGAAGACAAGCTTCACACAATTGATTGGAATGGTTGATTGATGGTATCCCATGCACCATGTTCTTTTCTCCCATTGTTTTTAGCGCTTCAAAATTCAAGTGCCCAAATCGCATGTTCCAACACCATGATTCATCTTGCACATTAGCCTTCAAACACTTTGCATCAATTGTCTTAAGATTAAGAGAAAATAATCTATTCTTTGCCATATACGCTTTAGCAATTAGAATTCCACTAGAATCTCTAAGCCAAAGATACATATTTTTCATGTGGATGTCATATTCCTTTTCAAGAAGTTGACCCAAACTTAAAATATTACTTTTTAATTTTGGCACATAATAAACATCTTGAATTAGCTTGTGACTACCATCTTTACAGGAGATAAGAATCGTACTTATCCATTCGATTTGAATCTTTGAGGTATCTCCAAAGGACACATTACCCCTCACCGTTTTATTGATCTCCACAAACTTCTCTTTGCATCCACACATATGATTGCTTTCTCCATTGTCCAAATACCACAAGCTACAATCATCCATGTCTTTTTTCTTGAGTGCCAGCAACAACGTTGACTCATCTTTTTCTTTCTTGTCGTCAACAAGATTAGCTTTTTCTTCAACATTGGTACGACATTCTCAAGAGTAATGGCCAAATTTATGACAATTATAATACTCAATTTTTGATTTGTCATATCTTTATCCATTATTTTCTTACTAGTAGCCACGTCCTTTTCCTCCTCTATATCCACGACCACGACCTCTAAATATTTGGTGGATTTTAACTTCATTGTTGAAGTTGTTACCGTTACTTCTTCCTCTTCCATGACCGTCACGGCCTCGTCCATTCCCTCGATCTCTTTTTTTACCTTCATAATCCTTAAAGGATGCCTCAGTTTTAAGAAGTTGCTCCAATGACACTTTTTGTCTCCTCTTGATCTTTTCTTCATGGGCCTATAAAGAACCCTCCAATTGCTTCACTATCATAGAGTCTAAATCTTTGGACTCTTCAATAGCACACACCACAAAATCGAATTTAGGTGTTAAAGTGCGAGAGATCTTTTCTACCACAGACATCTTCTATGTCCTCCCCGTATTTTCTCAATTAATTTACAACAACCTTCACTTTTGAACAATAATCCAAAATGCATTCAGATTCTTTCATTTTTAAAATTTCAAAATAAGCCCTTAGAGTTTGAAATTTTACCTTCCTTACCTTGTAAACTCTTTTAAGAGAATTTTATAAAATCTCCTAAGATTCCTTTGAGGTAGTAGCATTTGCCACCTTCTCAAACATGGCATTATCCAAACATTGGTGTATGAGAGTGAGGGCTTGTTAATCCTTCTTCCTTGTCTTTGCCAAAACATCTTTTTTTATTTTGAGGCAGCGCTTTCTCATTATCAGGTTTTGCATACCTTCTGTCTACGATTTTTCACACATCTTGAGAGCCAGGAATGACTTTCATACGTAGACACCATTTCTCATAATTATCTTTTGTGATACAAAGGTACTGAAAAGATAGCGGACTATTATTCGCCATGGCTCTGATACCACATTGTTGGAGAAAAATAATAATCCTGCCTAGAAATAATATCCACGGCAAATAATAATACCACAAGAGAGTAATAACGACACCAACTTTTTTAACGAGGTAAAATACAATACCTGAGCGGAGCAGTATTAACACTATAATATTACAACTTAGTAGTATCAAAAGACTACTACAACTTTGAAAGAAATAACACTCTTTATTTTAAATACATCACTACAATATTACTCACACTCACTATTTATCTCACAGACTACAATATGTGGATTACTCTCTCTAACTTCTATTGCTTCTCTCTTATTTTGGTGTGGTTGAAATGAAGAAACGAGACCTCTATTTATAGTAAGGGCTGCCGTCCAAATAGCCAATGAAAATGGCTTGTTGCTGATATGGTCATGCAATTTGCCTATAATTTGTCAACAAAGTTAGATACCTACCATCCCATTATTTTTTCTTTCCTTTTTGTTTTTTTCGATATGGGCCCACATAAATAACGTAAATATGTACATTTTGATACTTCGGGGTTTAGAGAGTGAACCAATCATTTTCTCATATAACACAAGCATGCTTGTAACGATAACAACAACGGAAAACTGAAATAAACTGAGGTGCAATTGGAAAAGAGACGGATTGACCAACAAATGATCATCATGTATTATTTTGGCCATAATTTATTTTTTTTATTGGACTGGGCATTCACAGAAGCTGACAGATATTTAAATTGAAGTTAATGGCCCTTTAATTATGACGTGAATGAGTTTAAATAACTTCAGCATGAGAGATGAATCTTTCTTTTCCTTAAATATTGTGCATTCTATTCCTTCACACTGCAGGAACCACTCTTTTTCTCGTACAAGAATGCACGTAATTAATGACGATAAGCAAAATTGTTATTAATCAAAGTGGAACAGGCAGGACTATAGTAAACCTGCTGACTAGTAATAAGCACGCTAAGAAAAGTAAAAGGTCAACTGATGAATTTGCATCAAGAAACATTTGAAGTTCACATTATGTCCAATTTGGAGAGCTTCTATGAGTCAAAATTATGTTAACTTGGTCTTAGTTCCAAGTTTAATCGATCCACGTGGAACCACATGCGCCTTGCAAAACAGCAATGGACGAACGAGATTACATCTTGCCAATAAATAACAGCTGATGTGTTCGAGATTTTTTATAACTCGTACGTGGCAAAATAGTATCAGCCTTAGCTATTTTTTGCTTCTTTCTATATTTTGTTTTTCCTGGGTATATACACAACTAGTACAATTTGTTTACACAAAAGTAGGCGGGTACACCTTTTCTTGTATAAATACTCTTGTACATTGAGAAACGAAATACACAAATAAGGTTACAATCTGATTCTGAGATGGATTCCGATTAGAAACCGGAGGCTCTGATCGTGATTTCTTTTCCAAGTGCCTATCGCAACTTGAAATTTCCGGCATTGCTGGGATTCTTTTCTATTAATCGATTTTTTTGGTAACGTCCATTCCTCCCTCCTCTCTGTTTATCACTTTGTGTGGTGTTTTCTTTGAATTAAAGCATGATACCAGCCTCCTAGTCCCCGTAGTTCACTGTCCAAGCGTGTTTAAGAATAATTCAGAATATTTGCTATTTTGGGCATCAGTCTTTGGGCCCAAGCCAAGAAGGGAATGATGTTAATTTGACAGCTCTATGTCATTCTGTAGATTAGTTTAATCCTTGTTTCGAGTGTTCTCACATGAATAGGGCATGGATCTAAGTCTGGTATTAAATTAACAGAGTTGAAACCTAGCTTTTAAAATTGTCAGTTTCATTCTCGTTTTCAATCTAAGTCTGGTATTGAATTAGTAAAGTCTTTAGTCCGTTTCAGGGTATCCATGTGTTGTAGGTGGCTGCTGATTACACGACCCCTTTAGCATATCTGTCCATTTCAACAACAACAACAACCCACTAGAATCCCACTAGTAGGGTCTGGGGAGGGTATCCTAGCCGGAAGGGGTAGAGACATTTTCGGGAGACCCTCGGCTCAGAGACAATAGATACGTAACAACAACAGAAATCAGAAAAATAGTATCAGCATCGTAAGAGACATCAAATAAATGGAAGGGCAATAATAATATTAATAATAATAATAACTACAAAAACCTAGCAGTCCTGGGCAAAACACTGTCACACTAGCTGATACAACGATGAAAAATGCTTGACTACCCCCTAACCTACAACCCTAATGCTCGACCTCCACACCTTCCTATCAAGGGCCATGTCCTTGGAAATCTAAAGCCGCGTCATGTCCTGATCACCTCGCCCCAATACTTCTTAGGCCACCCTCTACCCCTTTTCGTACCTGCCAGAGCCAACTGCTCACACCTCCTAACCGGGACATATATGTCCATTTCCTGCTCTAGAAATTAGTATCATTGCAGTCTGTGTTTATCACTACATTGAGGATTATGGCAATTAATAAAGGTTCCAAGTCATTGTGCAGATTTAAATTGCAAATATTTCTTACAGTTATCTTGCAATAACTCAGTGTTCTAGTTATGCGAGGGGTCTGAATTTGAAGGCAATCAGGGCTTTGATAATTAATTAATTGACATTCCTGCATATTTAGTCCAGGTTAAGAATGTTTTGTTCGAAATACCATTTTAGATGCAGAGTATTTGGTGAAATGAGTTGAGCAATTGTATGGGGTTGCATGAAGATTAAAATCAGGGTTCGAATTGACTTTTTTTTTGCTTATGGGTCTAATGACATGTAGTTCTACTGGGCTTTTGATGAGTTTAATTTTGAGAGTCTCTGAATTAGAGAATAAATAGATTTTGGGCTTTTAATTAAGAATTGTGATTTTTGTTGAGCCGAAGAGGAATTGTTTTACGTATAGGCTTGCGGAAATAAAATGAGAAGATGGATTGTCCTTTAGTCAATTGCTCTTTGTTTTTTAGGGACAATTGATTAGAATAGGTTTCATTAGCAACAGGTGTCATAAGGTAAATTCAATTGTCAATTATGTCATATTTTTCTACCTCACACGGTAGAGGTAAGGTCTGTATTTTATTCTACAAGTGGTCTTGAAGTATAGTAGTGCTGAATCTTTATTTATTTTTTTCAAGTGTCACAGGCGAGAGCAAGAAATTTTTGAAATTTGATTGGGGCCCAAAGCCCATTTCTTGGTGAAATTCTAGGGTCAAAGTTGTCTTGGTATTGCAAAAGGAGCTGGTATCATGATTTGTTCAAACATATCAAATGCTTCCTCATGTTCACTTGGAAATGTTGTGTCTTCAATTGTGGTGCTGATGATTTCCTGTTTATTTGATTCGATATTAAGAACGTTGATAGATTGATACATGAAGCTTCTAAAAGAATTTGGGAATTTCATAAACTTGAGTTGGAGAATTTGAAATGGGCCACGTGGTGGAGAACAACAAGAGATCTGTTGGGCCAAGTTTTGAGACAGAAGAAGAGTTGGGCTTTGATTTGAATTGATCTTGAACCAAAGAATAAATTTAAAGGTGGTGAGTGGGCTCAAATAATGTAAACTGACTCCTGAAATAATAAATAGTTTGTGAGGTTTAATGAAATTGTAGAGATGAATTGAAGAAATTGTCTGAGGTTTAGTTGCGTTAGCAGAGACTTTGCCTCTGGGTTCGTCTTTTGAATAGTTGAGACATTCATCTGATAGGCAGTGAGAGGGTTTCTACTTGTCTTTTTTTGATTTAAACATGAACTGGATGCTTTAAGGCTTTACTAAATTGTTGGGTTCATTTGTTTGATGTCCAAGTATGTTTGGCATAATCTATGATTTTCAAAATAGTTGGTACTCTGGCAACATGTACAACTGATTATTTGTGTCAATTCTGAACTTAATTTTTATACATGTTTGGTAATTCAGGTGATGGTGATTGAATCTTTATTATCTCTGTCAGTCCTGTTTTCCTGTTTTATTCACAGTAATTGAACATGAAAGTGATATTTTCATGAGTAGATTATTTGTAGTTTAATCTGAACTCCATGTGTTTAGACAACAAAATTCGAAAACCTTTGTGTTATAGAAAGTCTAATTTTTATGTTTTGGTTCAAAGACAAAATGAGTGATTGATCAAATGATGTTGTTGTGGCTCGCTCTGTTTTCTTTTTACTGGTTTACAATCGTATTTAGCCAGTTCTTGTTCTCAAGGGGCTTATCACTCATTTATCAATACTGCTAATTAGGAAGTATGAACGACCAAGACCGTAGGATCATGGTAACCACTCGGCAAGAACATGTGCCATACTGATCTGAATGCTTTTGTAGTATTTTTCAATTTATATCTTGAATATTTGATATATTAGCTAAGATTTCTGGAACTGCTTCAAGCTCGCAATAAGATATAAAAACAAGATGTTTTAGCCCACGAAAGTTGCGATTTTAAGCCCTCTAGGTTTTCAAGTTTGTCCTTCAATCCACAAGACTAGGAAACTCTGGCTTCTATGAATGCATTTTCTTTCAACTTTAGGACTTCAAGGAAATTGATTTCTCTTACATTAGTTAGTTCTCCCCTCTAACTGGTTCGTGAGAAGGTCAGCTTCCTCAGGGTTTTCAAAAGTATGAATAACCTTATGATCGTGGTAACCACTCGGCAAGAAAATGTCACAACTTATTTTAATGCAAATCTCCGTAAGAGAAAGTTTTCAGAAGATGAAAGCTGAATTTTGCTAAAATAAAGTTTTCAGGTCTAAAAGTTGCACTCAAGTAATGAGTTACAAGAACAAGGAAAAATCATAACTGAAAAATATAGTGGACTACCACTTATTCTGAAAAATATAGTGGAGTTACGATCTCAGGTAGTCCATCATATTTTTCCTTGTTCTTCTAACTCAATATTTGAGCAACTTTCAAACTTGAAAACCTTTTTTAAAAGCAAAATCCAACTTTAATCATCTTCTAGAAACTTTAGCTAATTAATACTTTCATTGCATTAAGTTGACATATCTTCTTGCCGAGTGGTTAACATGATTCAGTGGCCTTGGTTGTTCATACTTCTGAAGATTCAGATGAATCTGACCCTTTATGGTGCCCAGTTGGAGTGGAGCAAACTGACTAAAGTGGGAGAAATCGATTTCTTTGAAGTCTTAGAGTTGAAAGAGAATGTATTAATGGGATTCATTGATGGTGTCCATAGTTTTGTAGATCGGAGGACAAACTTGAAAAAACTCAAGGGCTTCGAATTGCAACTTTGTGGGCTAAAGCAGCTTGTTCTTATATCTTTTGGAAGCTTCAAGCAATACCAAAATGCTTGGCTGATGTATTCAACCTTCAAAGATATGAAACTGGAAAATACTACACGAGCAATCAGGTCAGCAAAAGAAAATAGAGGAGAAGAAGATGGAACGCGCGCCAACTCAAGCATTGATTTAAAGCTCTCGATGGTGCTCTTGATCTTTTATCAATGTAGTAATACACAGGTTTGTTTTTTTCCTCATGTTTGGAAATGAAGCAACATTTAATTTATTCATACTATCATTTATGTTCTCTTTTTCATTCAAAATAACAATATCTCATTTGTATGTCTTCCGAGTACCAGGCTATTTTCCTTATGTTTATTGTATTGATTCATTTTCTTTCTTATACGCTTTTATTAATGCTATATATGTATGCATGCCTGAGTTGTGTTATTCTACATCTGTTATGTTATATGCTATGACTTAGGAGCTGCTTCAATCTTGACTTACATTTTACTTTTTGGTTTCCCGTTTCCACAACAACAGTTCATAGGAGTGGATCTCTCTCTCTCTCTCTCTCTCTCTCTCTCTCTCTCTCTCTCTCTCTNGCCAGGTTCTCTCTCTCTCTCTCTCTCTCTCTCTCTCTCTCTCTCTCTCTCTCTCTCTCTCTCTCTCGCGCGCGCGCGCTTCCTTGCCTGTCTGCCCCTGATTCATGTTCTTCCTTCCTAGCAGACCACTAGCGATTCTATGGATCCAAGTGGCTTTTTCTCTCCCTCTGATTTTCTTTCCTTCTCCATGTGTAAGAATCTTCTTGTTTCCCTATTCTTCATTAATCCTTTGTTGCCTTTCTGTTCTTTCCTAGGATCCTGCATTCAAGCTACTGCGTCAGCAACTTCTTCTTCCGCTTTCTTTTTCTTTCTTTGGTACGTCCTGTTTTCTCTTATTCACCGCTTCTGCATTTCGTCCTCTCTTCTTCCTTGGAAATTCCCTGTCTGCCCATGGCATCGACACTCTTCTTATTAGCCCCTTTGTTTTTTCTGTTCTTTTCCGGCATTCATTCTTTTCTGCTGTTCTGGTTTACACTGGATGCTCTAATTTTTCCTTCTTCCCCTTATCCTCTCCTTCCTTTTTCTGACTATATCATTGTTGATTTAAGTATCTATTAAACCATCAAAACAAATGAGTAAAAAAAGTGTGTTACTTTGAGTACTTTTTCTGTAAATAATTGTTGCTGAAAAGTATGTTAGTTACAGTTGTGTGCTCCTGGTGCATTTTACTCTTTTTGTGTAATGACTCGCACAATCTACTCTTGACTTCTTTCCCAAAATGTCTAGTTTCTTTAGATTTGTGACACTTAGTTAAAAAGTTGGATATTAAGGAAGAGGAATCATGCCTGGATATAATTTAACAAGGGAAAACATTGGTTTTTGTATGAACTAACTGATTTCATTAGCTTAGGCTTCCAGTTTATGAAAAACAAGTATCTATTACTCCTATTATTCTGAAACTTTTGCAGTATCTATAATTATTGGTAAACTTAACTTCCCCCTTCATGTAAAGATTAACAAATTAAATTTAAGCATAAGCAAGCCTTTGAATTTGGATCAACTACTTCAACACAAATTGAGAATGAAGTTAGGAATAGAGATATATTTGTTAATAATGAAAAGGTCAAAGTGCACAATGTAGAAGATTCCACCTTTATATCTTTTAAATCCAAGGTCAACGGGTTTCACAATGGAAACTAGACTTTTTCAAATGAAAAGAAAAATGATTTGAATCCAAGAGCAGAATTAATAAGAAGAAAAGAGAACTTTGCTTTAAATTTGGTAAAACGGGCATTTGGTTAGAGTTTGTAAAATTTTCAAAGGTAAGAGAGAAGAAGCCAATTCCATGGATGAAGATGATAACATGGTGGTCGTTCTTACCTAAATTCATATGGTGGATAAAAAAGAGGAGTAGCAGTCCATGTCACTCCATGTAAAAATGTCTTCAAGACATACAATGAAGTTGATGATCATAACACTTGGACTTTGACAAAGTTTCCTCCTAATACTTCGGCAATTGGTTGTAAATGGGTTCTAAAAGTTAAAGCTGATGGGAGTATAGGTAGTTATAAAGTAAGACTAGTTGCAAAAGGCTATAGCCAAAAAGAAGAAGCTCCGCAAATGGATGCCAAAATGACATTTCTCAATGGTGAGTTAGATGAAATTTTTATATTCAACAACCTGAATGTTATGTGGTGAAATGAGAAGAATACAAGGTATGAAAGCTCAGGTAATCTTTATATGGTCTTAACCAAGAGACAAGATAATGGTATGAAAAATTTAGATTAACTATATTGGCTTTAAGTGTGGCAAAGTAGAAGAGTGTGTTTTCTATGAAGGCAAAAACACACACATCATTATAAAGTTCTTATATCTTTATATATTATGAGTTGCTTATTTTGGATCTAACATAGCATGTGTTTATGAAACTGAGCAATATCTAATGCAAATTCATGTTTAGGTCCTGTTGATGTATACTAGGAGTTAAAGTAGTTAGAAAAGAAATTGATATTCTCACACAATCATTTTATACTGAGAAAATACTTTAGAAAATTCAATCATTCTGACCGGAAACCAAGTAAAACTCCTCTTAATCCTCACACTAACTTAGTGCCCTGAGCCTAATGTTAATGATCCGGTTAATCAAGAAGAGTGAATAATTGGTAATTTGATGTTTTGAGTTAGGCTAAACAAGACATGGCATGTGTTGTTGGTATGCTTAGTAGATTTTCTTGTAATCCTAGTCATGAGCATTGGAAAAGCATTAGTAAAATAATGAAATATTTGAAGCATACTTTAAACTATGGTTTGCATTGCAAATGTTACATCTTCTATTTTGGAATGTAATAGTGATGCTAATTGGGCTTTTGACAGAAGAAATTCTGAATCTACAAGTGGACGGTTACAATTTGGTCAAATAATTTTTTCTCTCGATTCGTTTATTTATCTCTTGCGTTTTTTAGTTAGGAAATTTCTCCCTCTGTGCATTTTCATGTGACGCTTTTTCATTTTTAATCTTTTCCAAAGAGAATGATACTTTCTATAGTTAGAAAAAAAATGGTAATTTTAAATTTCTCATTTTACCTTTGAGACATGATTTTATAGCCACAAAAATGCCATAGCATGTTTAAGGGATAAGATTTATTTTGGCCCAAAATTTGATGGATTAATTTGGATTTAATCCATTCTGAAAAATGTTAATCATGTCAATGACCAACTTTGGATGGGTTACACAAACTTGATGCTCTAGTCAGAAGACCACGGGGCTGTTTAACACTAAGCTATCTAGTTGGTGCTGCAGTTGTAAATAGCGCCCCTTCATAATCCAATTTAATGGTCTACTTTAGTTGTAATAATTCATTATTTAACAAGTCATGTCTTTCTAGTTGGTTTAGTATGCCATGCATCATACACTTATCTTTGCATCCCTACAGCCTTACCGGTGACTGGTGACTGAGGCATTTTGCTACAAGTGGAGGAATCCTCGTTTTATTTTGACTTTATTGACAAGAAGGGTCACCAGTATAGCTGTTTTGGCTTTTTCCCAATAGAACATGATAGACTTGAGCAGATTGTCAAAACATACAGGAAGGCGGGTTTGTCACTGCTTGAATCTAAGCGAGCCTGATGAGAATCTAATTCCAGGGCAAACAAGAGTGATAATCAGTTAATAAAAAGAAAGAATAATAGCTTTACACCGACCTTGAAGAGGAAGCAAACTAGGATTAGTTCAGGTACCTCTGGTATCACCACAAGCAGAAGGAGGTGAGGGATTGGACTGGGTGTTAGCCGTTAGGGGACAAAAGGTAGGTGGCTGTGAAGCTTTAGGAATTCTTTATCTGATCAGCTAATCATGTTTTCGTGATGTTCCCAATATCTTGCGGATAGTAAAAGGACTTCTTATAAGCAGCTTTTTGCTTATAGATTCTTTACAATTTACTTCAATAACTAATCAACTACATGTCGATCCTAGACTAGTTGGGGTTGGCTATATGAATTATGTGTATCCAGTGTTATCAACGGCGAAAAGCCCAAAAGAGCTCTAAGGTCCGTCGGGGCTTTAAGCGCAAAGCGCAAATAAAGCGTAGGCTTTAATGAAAAAAGGCGCAACTGGAAAAAAAGTAAAAATATTTATATGTAGTCCAAGACTAATAATTATAAGCATGAATAACAAATATATGGACAAAGAAATTGGAAAAAAATTATGATAAAGTGAAATATTAATTGTTTAATGTCGTCTTTTCATTCATGATTACACTCATTGGCAAGGAATAGTATGCCTTAGAGGCTTGATGCAATACTAAAGCGCCCACAAAGCGAGGCTAAGCGATCAACATGTTTTGAGCCTCGCTTCAGGGCTTAAGCGCGCCTTTGACAACACTGTGTGTATCTATCCCGCTATTCAAATTTCAGGCAGGTGTCATTCCAATACATAGTAATTTGTCGTTGAAAGAAAAGTAGGCATTCATCTAAAACTAGAGGTTGTCTAGATCCCGCACTTCCTTGCATGGACAAACAAGTCTAACCCGGAAAGGACTCCCGGTCAATCACATACCTATTTTGAGTGTAACAACAAAAATTATGCCTTGATCGTTGCTAATTATTATAACTGCTATGTATCCTTTGTTTCACATTGTAATTTGTCTTAATTAAGTTGGCATTGGTGTAGAGATCGTAAGTCTTATGACACAGCTTTCTCAAGATATGTTTGTGGTTGGTGTAGAATTGCAGAATGGCCTTGCTTTGCTTTACAAGCTCGATATACTCTCTGCAATGTGGTCATCTTTTATGGAGTATTAGCTTTGCGCTACAATTTTCGAGTGTAGGAGTTTGAGAGTTTTGTCCATGTGATGGATAAATGATAATTGAAACCACAGTATTCATTCCATGTCCTGTTTATAACATAATTCTGAATATATATTTTAAGTAGAGAGGAGGTCGAAAATGAAGGATGAGAAGATACATAAATTGAATCTGTATAAGTTGAATAAAAGAAAAAGATACTTAAATTGGGAAACAGGTAAACTTGAACTTTCCAAACAATAGGATCTACTTAGGTGACTTTTTTATTCTTATTCCGTTTTTAATATAGCTGAATGTGTTGCTATTTATCTTTGAGGTGCAGCTTGGGACTTTGATGGCAGCGAGAAATGTATTAAGAGAGCTGCCAAGAGTCAAAAGATGAAATCAAGGATAGTAAATACTTTTCCGCTGGGCATAGTAATCTCATATTGGATGCTGTCCGAATAACTAGTCTGAATTGACAGCAATTCTAGCTTTTCTTTTCTACTTCTGATGTGTTGTGGTTATGAAAATTGTCCTGTTGGTTACTGGTTCGACTTGGATAATAATCTGTACGTGAAGCGCAGTCTGAATTCTGCATTTAACACATTTAAATATGCCGACAATTTTAGTAGTTTAATTCTTACAAAAAATTTCTCTCCCCTCTGTTATCTTGGAAGTATTTCTTTAGAAGGAAAAGAGTGATACAGTAGTTGAATTTCTGGACTTGTACCAAGAGTAGAGCTGTTATTTGTATGATGTTATTCAAATGGCATTCATATCAAACTTTGAATAACCAAGACTCCTGTCAGTTTACAGTAGAGTACCGTTGTAAGACGGAAGGTATGGGGGTTGGGAAACAGTAAAGGAAAAAAATCCATACTTCAAAGAATTTTAAAACTGAAAATTCGACACTGTAATACTTATATTTCTTTCTCGGTAATTCAACTCCTTTATTCACGGGGTATCTTTAAACTCATATCTAATTATTTCTAAGAGAAAGAGAAATTCAACAGGTGATTGTCATTGAAATTATTTGGAATTTGGACGTCAAAACTGAATTGGACTACAAAATACATTTAGACCCGAAGCTAAACTCAATAATGTTAATAGAATTCCAGAAATTCCAACAAATTGGTAATATGAAAATAAAATTAGTTTAATCAGAAATAATATGCAGAAGCGAGTTATTTTGGATTATAAAAAGAGAAGATAAATGATCCAAAATAATTACGTCTTATGACCCTTTGAAGATTTTACAAGTAGTAGTTTGATAAATGATCAAGGGAGGTTCCTTTTATCTTCTAGTTGGGCTTCACATACAAGTAACAATATCTTAATCCAAGAAATCCTTATCCTTTACGAAGGGTAAGGATAGATATGTGATAGATACTTGCTGCAAATAAGAAGCCAATAATGCCTGCTCCTGGTCTAGAGTTATTAGTTCTCTTTATGGCTGTCCAACGGGACGGGACGAGACGGTAGCGGGACGGGACGGAACGAAACGGTAGTCCAATTCCGTCCCGCTAACAAACGGGACGAGACGGGACGGGACGGACGGTAGGCCCATCCCGTCCCGCTAACAAACGGGACGGATTCGCGGGCCTTAAGTGCCGTTTTTAAGAAAAATATTTAAGCATTGAGTTTGGAAACCGCTATTCTTTTGACAATGACTAAGTTTTTAAAGTTTGCAACAACTAGTTTTTTGAGTTATTTAATAAACTTAAAAATTAAACGAAAATTAGGAAACTAAGTAAAGAATTATAAAATATTAAAACAAAAGAATTGTAATGAAATATTCTAGTAATTATAAATTTATAATAGAGTTATAATTTATTTAATATAATTTCAAGCCATTAAGTAACTAAGTAAGAGTGTAAAACAATTCATAAAAACAATTCAACGCTTGGAGCCTTTTATTTTATTAATAGAACTTTCAAATCTCACATACAAATATAATTCTTTTGAAGAGCACCTAATCTACGCAGCCACCTTCTAGGAAGGGTAATGTTTGAACTAGGCCTCTTATTAGCCAATTACAAATTATCATACTAATATTTGTAAGCTCCTATATAACTTCGTTGTAAGTTGTAACTTATTTATAATTTCTCTCGGACATTATTTTGGAATTGGCAATGTTGATTGATGTTCCATGAGTTTCATGCCGTCATAGCTCCAGGTGCTAAGTATCTCATTGTATTCTTCTTCTTCCCTAGTTTTACCACTTGTTGTTTCCATATATTTATATTTATCAAACATTGATTTAACATAAGAATATATGTTAGCTTGGCAGTCTTCGAGAGATGGTTGTTCATTTTCTTGAATTGCTAAATTCTTATAAATTTTACGAACAAGTCCATTTGCACCTCTTAATTTTAAAGATGGGTTAAGTATAGTAGAAACTAAATAAACTTGGGGAATAGGAAAAAAATACTTTTTAAATTTTGCAATCATTTCATTAATGGCCGTTGCATAAGTTGGATTAATTTTGCAATCATTTCATTAAGCTAGTTGTTGCAGTTGTGTTAGCACTTAGCAGAAGTATTATCTAAGGTGATAGTTAAAACTTTATCAATGAGTCCATAAAAATCAACAATTTGTAGAATAGTAGTTGCAATATATGCTCCACTGTGTTTTGAATCATCAAATTTATAACAAATAATATGTTTTTGCATGTTCTAGTGATGATCAACCCAATGACATGTAACAGTTAAATAATCACAACCATTAGGACTACGACCTATATCAGATGTGATAGACACTTTACAATCTAAGTGAAACAATACAAAACAAATATACTGAAGATATTCGGTTTGAAATTTAAAAACATCATTTCTAACCGTGGTCTTAGGAAAATCTTGAAAATCAGGATTATAAGTTTTTTGTATATAATGCACAAAAAAATAGGACGCGGGACGGGACGGGACAAAATGGGACGGGACAAACGGGACGAAATGGCCATCCCGTCCCATCCCATGTCCCGTTTAACATGGGCCTATCCCGTTTAGAATTAAGTGGGACGAGACGGGACAGAACGCGGGACGGGACGTCCCGTCCCGTTGGACAGTCTTAGTTCTCTTGGATGCCCATTTTGAGTAGTCACAGCGAAAAGAAAAGGTGCTCCAATATCTTTTGTATTACATAAGACACAGTCCTACACCACCTGATTCCTCATTTCTGGAGTCTATTGATAAGTGTGAATTTTGACCACTTATTAATACCTTTTTACTTTTGTTTCAGTCCGAAAGTGTTAATTTATGTTCCCAAAATTAATGAAAGTGTGCAAATTATAGGAATTTTGGAGATTTGGACTCAAATAAAGAAATCTAACTCAAAAAGGAGTGTTCCGACTCAATAAGCAAGAATAGGCGCAACATACCAAAAGTGTTATCTGCAGAAGTATTTTTGCGGCCGCAGAAGAAAGCGCGGACCGCAAAATTCTCCTTACGGTCGCATATCTGTTGTTGAAGCTCAGAGATGAAATGAAGAGAAGTGCGGACCACACACAAATTGTGCGGTCGCAGAACATGGTCGCACTCACAAGAATTCAAAAAGTTTAAAGAGTGTGCAAAATGACCAAGACTGAAGCCTTGCCTGAAGTGTGGACCACACATGAATTGTGCAGCTGCAGAAGCCCTCAACCTGCAAGCTCAAGCAAAGTACGGACCGCATATGGAATTGTGCGGCCGCAGAACCTCCCGATGGGTATTTTTGTCGGCGATTTTTGGGCCATTATAAATAGTCGTGAATCACGTTTTTATGTCAAGTTTTGAACTTTTCTTAGTTGTAGCCGTTATAGTTTATCATTTTGGAAAATTTGTGATTATTTTGAGATAAAAACATCATAGTTCATCATTTTAATTTGATGTTATAGCTTTAATTAGTGTTTCTTCTTTGTTTTCTTCATTTTCTACTATGAGTAGCTAGGGATTTATTAGGGTTGTGGCCCAACCTTAGTGTGTAAACCTTATAGGTATTTAATTTAATACTTGTTTATGATTGAGTGTTTGTTATTTAGCCTTGTTCATGTTTTAATTTTAAAATTAATGGTTGCAAATATTGATTCATGCCTTTTTGACGTGGCCTTTACTTGAAAAGGAGGGACCTAGTTTAGGAAAACTTGGCTAACAAGAAATTGGGCTAGTTAAGGATTTGACTAGCCTAGTTAAAGGGTTTAAACTAGAGATAGAAAAAACCCGACTTGAGCTCATATCAACTATTTAACTTGATACCCATTTGAGCTTGAGAAACTCAAATTGGGCAAAATCACTCTACGACCGAGAGGTATTAAGTGTGTAACTTAGAGTTGAGAGTTATAATATACCACAATCACTAAAACAAGTGTTAACGTAATTAACCTATTAGGCTAACACTTAGGCGAAGGTTACATCCCTAGGCTTTTTACCTATTTGAAAACAACCAAAAATAATTAATCAATTTCTAATTTTATTTCTCTAATTGATCATTGATAGTGTAGTTTATAGAAGTAACTTGCAAAACCGACTTGATTGGAATTATATTTAAGCTGTTTCGTCTTCACACATCAAGTATACACTCTAGCATCCATTGTTAGCTTCTTGAAGAAATCGACTCCAACTCATAATTTGGTATTATTCTTCCTCTTCCGCTCATTGTTGAGTGTGGATTGGGAGTGGATCACTTATCCACCGTTGATAACTTCATATGAAATGTCAGTCATAGAATAAACTGATGCCCAGGAATTATTCCTTTAGCTAGGACCAAGCTTTTCCATAAAACGTTTTGAAGTGGAGATGTAAAAGATTGATATGCCTTCTTGATATTAAACTTCTCTCCATCTTCAAATCTAAAAGATTACCAGATTGAGTCATCCACTTTCTTGCCTCAAATATCTTCCTAACTAACCAGCTAGCTTGAGTTGGAGTTCGCATGCTGTTTAGCTCCCTGTCTTTTATGTAAATGCTATGGATCCAAAGTTTTTCTTTCTTTTTACCCACTACCCATAGTAGCTTGCAAATTGTAGCTTTGTTCCAGGTAAAAAAATCCAATGTGTTTAACAAAATTAGAAAGGCTCAAAATTAGTAACTTAACTAACATGCCAAGCAACAATATATGTCAGTGGTATAATTTTTCTTTATCTTATTATTTTCGTAAAATATTACTCAACATATATTTCGTAAAATTTTCGACCGAACAATGTCGCATGACACCACTTCATTCCATGTGCATCCCCCTGCTAAGCTTGAACATAAGATATTGGCTAAGAGGGTGTTTGGCTAAGCTTATAAGTTGGTCAAACTGACTTATAAGCATCTTTTGGATTATTTACGCGTTTGGTAAACACACAAAGTGCTTATAAGCCAACTGCTTATAAGCTAAAATCAGCCATAAGTCATAAGCTGGTCACCCCCAACTTAAGGCTTTTTAGCTTATAAGCACTTTTAGTTTGACCAACACTTTTACTAGTTTATTCTTAATAATATTTTCTAATTTACAAAATACTTTTCCCAAAATAAATTTCTTGACTT